GACTTACCACAGTGACCTTGTGTGTTGTTTCCAAAATGCTGGAATGGCAGGTTGATGCTAAAGCCGGTGGCTCCAAAGGATACATCAACATTGAGCTGTGGAATACTTAGGAACAGGTCTAAACTCGAGCTTACAACCCTCACACCATTGTGAGCATATGGTAGCGTCAACAGAACATCGCCCATCAGAGCCTGTTAGGACAGGAGAAGACAACAAGACTAGGCTTAGGATACTTACAGTAAGAAGGAATCTCGGTAAAGTAGTCCAAAACACTCACCTCTAGTTCTGCACCTCCGAAGAAATTGTGATTTTTAAGTGTTATGACTTGATTGTTGTATGAAACAATAATAGATCTAGGACAGGATACATGCTCAATAGGGTCACAGAAGACATTGTCAATGTAAATCGTCAAGTGGTATTGAGGCCTAATTTCCTCCATTAATATATAAGTGCAGTTTCCTTGGTAACTGTAGAAGAGTCCATCAAATGTGATGTAATGTGGGTCACCCCAGCCTTCACAGAAGCCTACGATTAAAAGAACAACAAAATTAAGCACATTGTGTTGAAAAGGACATTGCTGTTGTTAATTGTAATGGTTGCAAGAATGTGAAGATTGGTTTACTTACAGTCACATGTGTAATACTGGCAACAGTAGTGCTCATCATAGACAAGCACTGGATTTTTGCCATTTTCACAGGTAATGTTCTGAAGTGGAGGGCATTCAAATGGAATAATTTCGATGATGTTGTCTTCTATGCATCTTGCCATAGTGCAGTTACACAAGATGAAGGTCTCATTAGTCTGGTGATGAAGAAATTAGTAAAATATTCAGCAATATCTCATGTTGATTCTGAGAATATTTAAATAGCATCATGGATACTGATAAAAGTAGTTACAGCACTAAAATGTTACAATTTAAAAGAAAGAATATAGAGTTGTACGTTTTTGTCCCATTCAGGGCAGTCGTAGTGTGGAGTTGGTGTAGGGGTAGGTGAAGTGGTGGTCCCTGGTGTTGTAGTAGGAAACATTGTAGTAGTTGTTGGCACAGGTGATGTGGTTGATTCTGTTGTAGTGGGCTTTGTGGTAGTTGTCACAGGTGATGTGGTTGATTCTGTTGTAGTAGGCTTTGTGGTAGTTGTTGGCACAGGTGATGTGGTTGATTCTGTTGTAGTGGGCTTTGTGGTAGTTGTTGGCACAGGTGATGTGGTTGATTCTGTTGTAGTGGGCTTTGTGGTAGTTGTCACAGGTGATGTGGTTGATTCTGTTGTAGTGGGCTTTGTGGTAGTTGTTGGCACAGGTGATGTGGTTGATTCTGTTGTAGTAGGCTTTGTGGTAGTTGTTGGTATAAGGGTCGAAGTAGGTGATTCTGTTGTTGCTGTATCTATAACAACCGGTTTTGATATAGATGGTGTTGTTGTTCCTGTTACAGGACTTATTGTTTCACGTGTTGATCCAGGGGGTGGTGTTGATAACGTAGATGATGTGGTAGGTTCTGGTGTTGTTGTAGGTGGTTCTGTGGTAGTTGTAGGTATAGGGGTAGTTGTAGGTG